ACGTGACCACTTGAACCAGGTTCTCACAAGAGAATAGAGCGATATCCTCCGAACCCTTATTACCGGTGTCGGAAAGCCTTTGTCTTGTCAACATTAAAAACATAAGAAATAGGAGCAGGAGAGGCCATTCGGCCTCTCAAGCCTGCCCCGCCATTTAATAAGACCATGGCTGATCTTCTAACCTAATTCCAGTTACCCGCCCTATCCCCATATCCCTTAATCCCTTGAGTTTTTAAAAATCAATCTCAGTCTTGAATATGTTCAATGACATCCTGATGGAAGAGCTCCCTCTTTCACCAATACTGGTGCCAGTGGTCCACAAAATAAGGCATTATACAAATGCAAGTTCTTCCTTTTCTCCAGCCAGATCTTGTTGCATGTGGAGTCCCAGTACACAGCAAGTACACTTAGCTAAAACCTGCTTCTTTTAATCACAGGCTCCACATGTGGTTCCAATGCGAGTTGGGGTCAAAGTAGGAGACATGTCCCTTCAGGATACCATTCTGTGTGATGGCCTAATGGACGCCTTTTATAACTACCACATGGGTGTAACAGGTAAGAACTGTCACTGAATAAATACAAGGTTTGCATTTAAGTACTGGAAATTAATTGCATTTCCCTCTGTTTTCTAACCTCTCTGAGGATCTGTGGCGTTTAGTTCTTAGGCTACCAGCTGCCCTCCAGTATCTCATTAAAGTGGCCGTACTTCATGTGTGAATCCGAGTGGTAAAGGGTCACTGGGCTGTTTGACCATGAGAGGAGATGGAATATCACAGGCAAGTCTCTTCCTGTCCACACACAAGCACCTTCCAGCCAGGACCATTGAATGTGATAAGAAGTGGGAACACTGGCTGTATTTTTCCTCCTACTTATACAAACTAATTGTAACATCCCATCTGCTGCCAAGCTGACACCAGGTAACCTGGCACAAATCTGGGTCTTCCAAGTCTCAGTTCAACGCCAGGCAGTGCCTTTGTCAACCAAGTGCTCAAAGAGAGCAGCTTGGGAATGCAGCAATCTGTATGCAGGGTTTGATAAATTTATAAGATAGTATTGTTCTGATTAAAAATGGGGGGCGTTATTTGAATAGAAAATGTTCTTTTTGTTTCTATTTAATCATGTATTGTAACCATTTCTTAAAATTAGATACTGAAATAATGGGCAGAATGTGTTTGAGCTCAGATTGCAATCCAAAGTGCCTGTTCCCAGCCTCCAAGACACAGTCGTGTATTAACTACCTCAGCTGTGGAGGTGCTCATCGATGATTGGAAAAATGTGAACAAATTTACTGGAACAAACCTGAATCCTTTACTGAAGTTCAAAATATGGAGGAGGTTAATTCTGTTCTGAACTGTAAAGGGACATGACTGTTGACTAAAGATGCTCCTACAAAATACACAGTCACTACACACTTCATAGTTGTGAAGCACTTTTAAACATCCTCGCGAATAGAAACATACTATTCTTGGTGGAGACCCAGGCATCCTACATGGCTCAGCCAACTTAAGACCAAAAGATTCTGTGGTTGAATTCCTTGGAAGCTCAAGCTTTTAACCTTTTTTAGAGCAACAATGTATCTTTAAAATTATCCTCTGTGGTGACAGATAAGCAAAGTCACCCGAGGGCAGTACTTTTACACTGTGATGACTGGCCTAAAACCACCTTGGAGGGTGTGAATGTGTGAACCGAAGCTGTGCAAGCTCATAGAACGGACGTAGATGTAAAGTAGCATGTTACTTGATAGCCATCATTATGTATAGCTACGGTCTCTTGGCCATGCACATATTTATATAAAGGTTTGAAGCTACAGAACGTTTCCCGAATTACTTTTCTCGTCCTCTGGATGCAGCTGAGAACGTGGCGATGCAGTGGCTTGTGAGTCGAGAGGAGCAGGACAAGTTTGCTGTACAGTCCCAGAACCGAACTGAGGCAGCACAGAAAGCTGGCTATTTTGAAAAAGAAATTGTTCCTGTCTCCGTCCCTTCCAGGAGAGGTATGTGCTGTACTCCTAGGAGGAGAGATTTTGAGACTGACTGGTTCATCTGCACGAGCGCGTGTGAGTGCGTGTAGGAGAAGGTTTCAGAAAGTTGCATATTCTAAGCTTTTTCAAGCCTCAAAAACAAATGTCATAGAGGGGACCTCTATAGAGGTATATAAGATGCTGAATGAGATTGAGAAAGTAAACCTACAATAATATATTCAGATATACCAAGCCAGCAGAAAACAAGGTACAGGTTCAGAGTTGTAAAGGACATTATTTAGGACACACAACAAGAAGTGTTTCTTTACACGTTGCTGCAACTGCAGTAGATTACCAGGAGGGATGGCAGAAGCTAGGTTGCTGCCCCCAGGACTCTGCTATTGTTTTTTAAGCACCTGCAGGAGACGAGACTGGGGTCATGGCTCAACTCCAGGTATCTCCCTTTCCCATTTGGAAAAGGTCTGCTCGGTCACTCCTCACATGGCTGATATCATTGACTGAGGAGCGGTCAAATTGTGTCCCCCCTGAAGTAGGGTCAAGTAGATTGTTTTCTTTTCAACCAATGATTCACCCACTGTGCATTCCATCATCTTCAGATTCAAGGGTAATGACTTAGATTTACTATTTATTCTAGTAGGAAAAAGCTGGACGCTGGATGAAGTTGATCTCTTCGAAATCAATGAAGCTTTTGCATCACAGTCTGTAGCTGTTGTCAAGGAACTGGGTATAAACCCAGAGAAGGTGAGAAATGTAGATATAAAAATTGGCACTACAACTAAATGCAATTGATCCTTTTTACTTCCTGATTCACCCAATGGGTCAATGTGGGATGTAATAAAACAACAAATTGCATTTATAAAGCGCCTTTCATGTCGGGAGGATGTCCCAAGCCACTGCAGTCGAGGGTTTGCATCCAAGCTGGGGTTGGATTCGGGAGGGATGGGGGCCAGGAAGATGACCGGTCAGAGGAAGGTTTTGAGGACCTTGAAGGAGGTAAGGGAGAGTTGAGGTGATAGGGCTCTCGTTGGAGTTCCACAAAGTGAGAGCAGATAGGCTGAAAGCCTGACTGCTGATGGTAGGATAGGCAGGGGACCTGAAGCAGGCCAGTGGAGTAAGGAGAAAATTAGGGAAAAGGTTTTCCCTCTTTTTTAAAAAAATGCATTTTTTGTGTTTGTCTTTCTAGGTAAACATCCAAGGTGGTGCTATTGCTTTAGGTCACCCTCTGGGAATGTCTGGGTGCCGCATTCTGGTTACACTTCTCTACGCACTGGAGAGAACAGGAAAAAAGCGTGGCATTGCTTCTTTGTGTACAGGAGGTGGAATGGGAATAGCTATGTGTGTTGAAAGGCAATAAATTACACCTAAATTTTACTACAAGAACTGAAGATACTCTGCAGCTAAGCTACTGACTGGATAAAATTGAGCTTTTATTTTAGAGGTTACAGCCTGATTCCAATGAAATGTAGGTGCATTTTGTTTTTATAATGAATGTGTAAAGTAGGTAGGTCTTAAAACTATTCAAAACTTCAGTCCACATAAAATGGTTCTGAAAATTAGTGTAACTTTTAAATATTTGATTAAAAGTACTGAAGTTTGAAATCATAGTAATATTGTGTATGTGGAATCCATACTTTTGTTAAAATTCATAAACTCCTTCCTATTATCTCTCAATTATCTCTCGTGGAGACCTGTAGCTCAGTGGTTAGAGCACTCGCTTTGCAAGTGAGAGACCTGAGTTCAATTCCAGGCAGGGCGAAACCTTGGGCAAGTTTCCTTACTCCACACAGAGCCTAATAATAATCCCTCCAAAAACAAAAACAATAATAAATTGGTCATTTTCAATCTACGACTGTTTGTGGGGCATTGCTGTGCGCAATTGGCTGCCGCGTTCGCCCACAAATATACAGTCAATTCACTTTACAGTGTGTTCTGTGAAGCGCTTTGGGACTTCCTCCCGACGTGAAAAGCGCTATATCAAATGCAAGGAAAAAAAGAAAAAAAAANTTTCAGGTTGACCATTTTTTTCTTTATGAAATAAATTGCTCAATGTACCATTGCTGAATCTTGTAAACTGACTCTCAAATTACATCCAGTGCCAGTATTTATAGAAGGGCAAGATGGTTGAATACATGTGAGAAAGCAGGGGAACATTCATTGTATTTTAATTTTGCTTTAATTGATTTACAAATGCTGCCCTAATACTTTTGAGCATTTTATCATTCCCCATGGTAAGATCAGCAACCAAGAATCAGAGAGGTTACTTATTTGGGGAGATAATAATCATCCTTGTATTTGATATAGTGCCTTATTACATCCTTCCCCAGTAGTATTTTTAATTAATGTTTTCCCCAGTGAATTTGTGTGAGGGAGAAATCATGTCCACAATGAAATAACATACACAATTAATTAGATTTGAAAAGACCAGAAGCACAACATCAACGTTTATTCATGAAATTAAGGTGCTCTCTTAACAGCTCCCTACATAGATGGGCTGATCACTTGACAACTGTCACATTTTATTTCTGAAGGAGCTTGAAGCACAACTGTCAATGTACAGGAAATAATTTTGCACAAATAACTTGAAAGAGTTGACTATAGGTAACAAAGTAAGAGGTCTTTTAAATCCGGTTTGTGCCAAATAGCACTAAACAAGCATAGTAAATTAAACAGAGCACTAAACAAGTGGCACTGAATTTCAGACAAGCATGACAAGCTGCTCAATCTAGAACAGAAGTACAAGAAGCACCTGATGGATGCCAAGAGTTAAACATAAATTATAATAGCTGATTTTAGAACTCAGGTGCTTCAGCCATTAAGCTCTCCACTTTGAACTGCATTTTGGTAACTCTTTCCTTTGTCTTGCTTTTCATCTGGGTAAAGTTTGATGAGATCATCAATTCGCAGGATGGTTATAGCAGCTTCTGTTGCAAACTTCAGACTCTTGACTTTAACCATAGTAGGCTCAAAGACACCAGCTTGTTTGTTGTCCCTTGGCTTCCCATTCAATAAATCAAGACCAATCCTGCACAAGCAAAATGTCAATTTGATTAACACTGTTTTAATAGCCAGTCACTACAATATTAGTAAAACATTCATAATTTCCGATTGAATTCTGACAACTCAGCCATAAAAGTTACTTTAACAAGATGGAGAAAATCAATTTTGCACTTTACTGCTATCTGGGGCACCAGGTCACCAAAAATCAATGATTGCTCATGAATTGCAACAATGTTCAAATTTAGTTTCATCGCTGATTCAGACAACAATGGGTCTCAAGTCACAATCTTTTGCAGACCACAGTACAATAAAATTTTTACCATTTCAAAGTTTTGCGATCAGGATTGACCTGAGCTTCGTTGTGGAATGCACGCAACTTTGCAACAAGGTCTGTAGAATCCTGAGCAGCATTCGCTGCCAGAGTCTTAGGAATAACCAACATGGCCCGGGCAAATTCTGCAATGGCAAGTTGTTCACGTGATCCCTAAACAAAAAGACAACCAACAGTTAAATACATGAAGTACTTTTAACTTATTTTCTTAAAATAATTTTTAATACTGCAAATTAATAGGGACAGTAATCCCTGGTTAATCAGCTCAAAGCATACGGTAAAAGTGCCCTCCCCCAATAATCTTGAAATACAATTAAACCCATACCAAACTAGTTGCATAGTTTTCCAGGTAGATGGAGAGTGCAGCTTCCACAGCCCCACCTCCTGGAACTAAAGACTTGGACTCAAGCACTCTCTTCACAACACAGAGTGCATCATGTAGGGAGCGCTCCATCTCATCACACATGAAATCATTTGCTCCTCGCAGAATGATTGATACAGAAGTACGGGCCTCTGTATGGAAAATTCAAATTAAACTTTACAACAATAGTACTTGTGAGGGTTGGGTGAAACTCATTTTAAAATGTCAGCATCAATTTATACCTCACTTTTAGAAATCAGAATCTAGATCCCTTTTTCAATCACCAACTTTGTGTGCCCTGCTCCTGAATGAACAATACCTATTGCTTATATACTGTTATGCAAAACAATATTCATTGCCGACTTAAACCAGGAACAAATGTGACAGTACTACTTTCATCAGGAAACGGCTTAGATTATATTTATATGCACAACAAATTTAATCTGCATCTGTGCAGTCAATTTAAAAAAAATTCAACACAATTACAATCCCAACATCTTTTTCAATTCTGCTACATTAACAGTAGCATTAAAAGATACTACACTGTGTACATTGGAGATAATTTTTTATGTTCAGCTAATGCATTACTGAGAAGACATCAGCAAGGTCTTCAGTCACACAAGGCTGAATATTCTCTATCCCAAGCGTACAACTGCTCATGCCACAGATATTAGCAGGGCAGCAAATAAATGGGAGTTCAGTAAGTTGTACATGTTTTTCTTACTTTTTAACAAGCATCAGTTCATCATCGCATATCCTTTCTTGAACCACCTCCGGCCGTGGCAGGGACCGGCCCTGGCAGGGACCGGCCCTGGCAGGGAGCGGCCCTGGCAGGGACCGTCCCTGGCAGGGACCCGCCCTGGCTGGGACCCGCCCTGGCAGAGATGCTGGAGGCCCAACTCGTGATGGTGGGGTGGGTCGGGCAATAGACATGGTGCAGGCCGGAGCCTGCTGAGCGGAAGGAGCTTACAGGTCGGAGCGGTAGGAGGGGGAAAGATCATGGAAGGCATTAAAGGTGAGGGCCAGAGTTTTGAATTCGATCCTCTGAGGGATGGGGAGCCAGTGGAGCTGGGCGAGGGTGGGTGTGACTGGGTCATGGAATCTGGTGCGGGAGAGAACACAAGCTGCAGAGTTCTGGATAATCCGCAGCATGTGGAGGGAAAAGTTGGGAAGGCCGACCAGCAGGGCATTGGCATAGTGGAGCATGGTTGCAATGAAGGCATATATGAGGGTTTCGGCGGCCTGAGGCTGTGGCAGACTCGGACAATGTTACGGAGGTGAGGGAAGGCAGAGCGGGTCATGGCACGGATGTGGGGGAGAAAGGACAGTTGAGGGTCAAACACGATGCCTAGGTTCCTAAGTGGCTTCATGAGATGGAGTGTGCATCTGTGGATGCTAATGCTGCCGGTGCTGAGGGTGCGGAGGCGCTGGCGTGAGCCAATCAGGAGAGCCTCGGTCTTGCTGTCGATGAACGGTAGAAAGTTGGCTAGATCAATGGTCCTGGGGTCAAGGATGGAGGCAGAGAGATAGAGTTGGGTATCATCCGCCTAAATGTGGAAATTGACCCCATGTCTGCGGATGTTGTCACCAAGTGGGAGCATGTACAGGTAGAAGAACAGAGGACAGAGCTCCGAGGAACACTGCAAGAGATGGTGCGTGGGCTGGAGGAGAAGCATTTTGTGGAGATAAAGTGGAGCCAGTGTTAGAGATAGGATCTAAACCATTCAAGGACAGAACCTCGAAGGTTATGGTGAGAGAAGAGGTGGTGGAGGAGGATAGAGTGGTCCACAATATAATATATTATTTATATATAATAATATTAGTTCATTTGTCATCATTATTGTATAAGATCTATTACTTTTTAAATATTTTTTATTATTATTGCTGTACCATTCTTCTTGTATCAAACTCTGCACGCTAATCATCTCAATGCTCGCCAGACTTTACTGGCTCCCTATCTCTGAAACGATCGATTTCAAGATCCCCACCCTCACATACATATCCCTTCAACCCCTACCATCTCATACCTCCCAGATTTGCTCATACCCCACTCCTCTGCCCTCCCTTTCACTCAACTGGCCTGTTGCATGATCCCCAATACCTCCACACCACCAGTGGTAGCCAAGCCTGTACCCACTGAACAATGATTCAACCTCACACCAAGGTGGAGTTTGACAGAGAGGCCAGGGAGGTTGAGCAGGTCAGAGCCAGAGTGAGGAAATCTTTGCAGTATCTCAGGAGATGACTTCTCTCTTGACCGTGAATAGTTGAAGGACATTTTGGGACATCCAATCTTTGATAACCAATAGAGAAATGGACTAATGTCAATTCACCTGGTATCAAGAGTAGCGCCCTGAGATGTCTTCCGGCGTGGAGGGCGCTATATCAATCCAAGTTGTTGTTGTTGTTCAAGAGTAGTCCTCGAGGTCCATGTCTAACGCCAGATACAAGGCTTGCTCAACAACAGCTGCTTAATCCAAACCCTCGTGCAGTAGCAAGGCAGGTCAATGTTGGAACTGGAACACAGACATTTTTTGGACAGTAGATGCTTTATGCACACATTGCGAAAATTCTGTCCCTTTCTCACCTCCTACACCCTCTCTTTGCCAATGTGTCTGTAGACATATGAAATCCCCATAATTTTAATGTTTTAATTCTTGTGGATTGAAGTGACCAAATTTTTTTTTGAGGATTATCAGGCGTGTGGACTAAGGTAACTTGCCCAAGGTTTCGCTGTGCCGGGAATCGAACCCAGGTCTCTTGCTTGAGAGGCGAGTGCTCTAACCACTGAGCTACAGGACTCCTACGTATAGCGCCTTATTATGTCTTCAGTACGTCTCAACGAAGTGAATTGACTGTATATTTTATGAGCAAAACACTTTCGCCATTTGCGCACAGCAGTGTGCCACAAACAGTCATGGAATGAGTAACCAATTTTTTTTAAGGGATTATTGTTCCCGAAAAAGCGATCCACCAATCGACTAACAACTGGGTTCTCACTTACTGCTAGGTAAACAGAGGCATGTGGAGAAAGGAAACTTGCCTAACGTTTCACCTTGCCTGGGAATCAAACCCAGGTCCTCTCACTTGCGATATGAGTGCGCTAAGCAATATACTACAGGACTCCACTTGATACTGATCGGTCAGAACAGTAGAGGTCCTGGCATCAAGGGCGAATGCAAACTACATCTCCCGGGCACAAAATGGTTAGGAAACTAGCATCAGCAAATTGTCTGTAAATAATTACAAAAGCCTTCAACAAATTGCTGGAAAAANTAAGCCCCTCTACCCCCTCCTCTGGCCTCCAGTCAACCATTTCCACATTGTTGATCCTGTTCCCAACATCTTTGTCCTCCCTTATTCTTTGAATGAAGCCACCACCCACTCCTCGAACATATAGCCACATCTCTCTGGCCACCCAAACTCCCTTCTTCACACCTTTGCTAGCCAATCATTACTCTGCTTCTCCACTGGTACAGCACTCCCCGCCTTTCAAAACCACTGTCATCACCTCCTCCTGAAGAAACCGTCACTTGACCCTTCTCTGCTCTCCAGTTACCGAACGATCTCCAACTTGCCCTTCCTATCCAAAGCCCTGGAATGAGTTGTCACCTCCCAGCTTCACTTCTTCCTTGCAAGGTGGAACCCTCAAAGTGAGAATTCTGCCCAGACACGTGAAAATTTCCATGTGTAGGTGGCATACATATATGGAATTCTCAGTGTGGTTGGATACTTTCCAGCGTGGTGATGGGTTTCTGCACGCTTTAGACACTTTGCTGAAAAAGCCAAATTTCATTGTAATAAGAATAATAATACTTGCATTTGCTTATAGCTCCTTTTGTGTCTGGAATCTCAAAGCCCTTCACTGGATATATTGTAAAGTGTAGTGACTGAGTATTTTGTAGAGGAATGCGCCAGTGGGTTTTGTCTGCTGTAGATTAGCGATTGCATTTATTTACACAACTAAAGTTACCATTCTTTGTAAATCATTGTGTGAAGCATTCCAACACAGAGTACCACATCAATTTTAATGCCTGTTTTGTTATTTATTCCCTTTTGTTTCCTCTTTAGTTGCTCCCACTGTTGTCATAGAACCGTATCCAGACATCCCTGTGGCTGACAGTGGAGAAAGCACCATAGCCACCTGTCTAGCAAAAAATGCAAAGCCAGCCGCTTCTATACATTGGAAAGGTCCTTTCATTGTCAGTTTTACTCAGAGTGCCACACGTCCTGCTCCTGATGGAACTGTAAACGTCTCAAGCCCACTTCGTCTATCTGCAACCAGAGAGATGAATGGACAGTACGTTTACTGTGTGGTGGAACATCCAGCACTGAAGACTGCTGAACAATTGGGTTATCAGTCAAACATACATTGTATGTATAACCATCTCTTCCTACACTGTTTTAACGTCCGGTTCAGTAAATACACAGTTTAGTAACACTTGTTAATGCCATTTTAGTAAATACACATAATAGAAGTAACAGTTGTTAATGCTGCTGTTTCTCCTTTCAACTTTCCAGTCAGTTTTCAGTTACATCATCAAATCTTGGAGGAGTTTTAAATTTCTGGGGTAAGGTTTTCATACATAGCTCCCATCCACACCTTCTCAACTCAGTCATTGACCTCATTGACCTGCACATTGAACACTCTCTCTCTCTCTCTGTCTCGCAGGCATACAAGTTCTCATTAGTTCTACTTTCTCTGCTTAACGCTTCAAATTTTACTTCCTGCACTATTGCTCCCCACATCCCACACCTCCTGCTGAGACACTTACACCGCTTCCAAACTCAACTATTGCAACAACCTACTGCTCCGCAGATCCTCAGCTGCTTCCGACACAAGTTACAGACCATCCAGAACTCTGCAGCGTGTGGCATCTCCTGGAGCAGGCTCTGTGAGCACATCAGCCCATCCTCACTCAGCTTCACTCGTTTCCTTTCTGCTCCCTTTCAAATGTCTCCATGGCCTACCATCACCCCACCTCTTCTATCGCTTGTGTTCCATTCTTGTTCTTGTGCTCAGCAAATTTTGCCAGCTTCACCTATCCCTCTCTGAAACTCCATCCTTGTGTCCCTGCATCTTGTCTCATGCTTTCCTGTTTGCTCATCTTTTGTACTATAGTACTGACCAAGTGAAAAGTCAAATTCTCTCTCTGTCGCATGCAGACAACAATTATGCATGCATCTCAGGCTTATTGAGATATTCTTTATTACATGAAAGATTTGGAAAATTATGAGATTCCAATTTTATAGTCAATTACACTAATAATGCTTTGTTTCGTGGACTGAGAATCACAGCATGTGAAGACTCGTATCACCACTAACTGAATTGAACCTATTTAACAAATGTATTTGGGTACTTGGAGCAGGCAGAGAAAGAATGTTTACCACTTTATGATCTGAATTAATGCTCTGTTCTGAAACAAAATTGAAAGATCATTGTTCTACTTACAGTATGCAATCTTTTGTCCGTCTCTTCCACCATTGTCCTGTTTTGCTTCATTGTTTATGATTTTACTAGATTCATATCAGGATAACAGTCTTTTGTTTTATTTAATAAAGTTCTACAAGAGTCTTCAAACTTTCTAGCTTTCACAGCAGAATTGTTATAGTGGAGTTTTATCTGTCTATACTTCTCTGGAGAAAACTTTCCTGAATCTTCCAAATCTTGAATTTTGAATCGTCCTTGGAATCTACATTCTTTGAATCTCCATTTTCGAATATCTCATTGAATCTTAAATCTGCTCTACACTAAACTAACTGAACAGAACTTTGCATTAATATACCTGTTGAACTTTGCAATATTACATAGTGGGCTCCTCCCTTTGTGAGTGGAAGTGGGCTGAGATGGTTGGAGGGTATCTCCAATCAAATGCTACCCCTTTTTAAAAATAAGCAGCTGTGTTTAGCTGTTTTTCCTCTTGATTATTCTGAGCTTATCCATCTTTTGGATAGGCGGACAATTAGACGAGGAATTTGGAAATATAGTCTTTAATCCTTAAGTTAAAACTGCTTGAAGTGTGTTAGAAACATCTCTTCAATCTCCTGGCACCAAATGGTCCAGTGATCTCATCTGCTATATTGTTGCAGGAGAAATTTATTTCCCTTGATATAAGTTTCCATTCTTCTTTATTGTTTTTGGTACCTTTTACAGATTGATTTAGACTGTTTTTACTTCATGTCTGGTTAATATTAAACTGACCTCTTTATAAACCTATTGTGTTGACAAAACAATGGCATTTTGATTGAGCAATCGACAAACCTTTGGCATTTGAATAACTTGACCAAATTCACCCCTTTTACAGCTTGAATTCAGCTCTTCTGAGCCACAAATTTAAGTTGGACTTTTCCTTCCGCTTAGTTTTTAGAATAATAATCCTTGCATTTGATGTAGCACTTTATCATATCATTGTTTCCAAAAAGTTACACAGCTTATTTGTAAGGCTTAGTGACTTCATTTGTAGTCAAATACGGCAGTCAATTTGTTCTATGTCCCACACACAGCCATGAATTGAATGATCATTTTTTGTTATTTGGGAGATTATTGGCCAGGACACTGGGAGAAGGTCCCTTCTCTTGTTGAATATTGCCATGGAGTGTGGATTTTGAAGTAGATTTTAAAATGGTATTTTTTTCAGATGTGCCATCAGTTGCCATTACAGTTGTGAAGACTGACCAAGATAATTTACAGCTGAAATGTAATGCAGATGCTAATCCTCCATCTACAGGAATCAGATGGACAAGGTGAGGAAATGTCTCTGTTATAGTGACTGGGCTTATTTTTGGTCATCTTGATGTTTGTCACATATGGAAACCTATCACCATGCTTAACAGTATCCGAATCAGAGTTCCAATTATGAATGCCACTTACAAATGGAAAGTTTTGAAATTGCCTTTACACTTATAAGCACCGAGCTCAAATTCAGTGCCGACTGAGAAAATTGAACTTTTCTGTCTCTGCTGACTAGAAGAGCACCAGTGACACTGACCTGTGTCCATTTCCAAGGGAAATTAAAATGATAACAATCCTTGCATTTCATATAGCGCTTCATCACGTATTCAAGATGTCTCAAAGTGCTTCACAGAATATAGTGTAAAGTGAATTGACTGGAAACAATAGAGCCTCACTAATCCGGTCACTCAAGTGGCTGGTATAAGTGGCCTACTTAGTGAGGTGACCTGACGACTGAAACAGGCCGGGTGATTCAGGTCATTGATGTAATGTTAAGGGCATTGGTAATGGGCAAAGGTGATAAACATTCAACAACCTTACTTTGCAATTTCATTAAACTAAAGGCATTGTCACATTTAAAACAGATCTTAGGTTTCATTATTTAAAGTTCACACAAGAGGTTAAAATCACACAACATGTTCATTTCTTGAAGAAAGAGTCCAGCATTGTTTGCCTGGCTGCTGATTAACCTGCACTGCCTTGGCCAGCAGCTGACCCCTCAGCCTGAGCCAAAGTCTGCCACGAGTCAAGTCCATGATCAAGGCAAAAGTCCTTCACTTGTCCCAACAAACCCAGTGCATCATCATAAGTGAGAGGGTTCTTTGATGTTGTTGGTTGCCCTTCCCGTTCGTTCTCCTGTTCCTTAGTGTCCCTGGTTCCTGCTAGAAACTCCTCCAATGGACATTACTGCCATCCCTCATTCAAGTCCTCAGTGGAGGGCACATCACTGCCAATGGCTACATTATCCTCGGCACTGAGGATAGGGTTGTCCAGTGACAGGCACTGACTGGCCTGAGCCAACAAATGGGCACATCATCATCAGGGTCCTCCACCACAGGCTCATCCACACTAAAGCCAGCCTTGGCAAAATACTTCTCTACTATTGATCTACGCACCATGTTGACTGCTGAATCAATCCAGATGACTGCATGAAGAACATTGATGGATTGCTTCCAACCAGTGCAGCCATCATCACAAACTGAAAGGCTCCTGTCAGGGAGAGCCCTGAAAACAACACCAGATTCATCCATGTTAAATATGTCCTTGGGTGCACAACCAACTGTAATCATAGGGAATTTATCCATCCAGTTGTTAACAGCACAGGCTCAATGTCACCCTTTTCCCCAGACACAATTGCAGACCCAATGTTGTGTCTGGACTTGAAATGGACAAGCCAGCCATTTGATGCCTTGAAACCAGTCTGGCCAAGTGATGCTGCAAAGCTGAGTGTTTTCTCCTGTACCATAGGGCCAGACACAGGCATGTTGAGACCACGGGCACGCTGGAACCACTCCCATGTAGGTTTATGAATGTCCTCAAACTGAAAGTTCAAACACACACATTTTCTATCAGTCTGTTGATTGTCTTCAAAAGCTGTGATGTATTCAGCCTTCCTTTTCAGAATGCATCCAACTTGTGTTCCACCAATGCCATAGATAACAGCAAACTGTCTAATGACTTTTGCCCTCACTATTTTTGATTAAGTCCACTCCATCACGCGAGGACAACTCCATCTGTGGTGATGGCAAGAATTGGCAAGAGGAGCTCAGGATAGGTCGTGGGCGCGGGCGAAGTCGAATTCTTGCTTGCGGCGCTTCCGCGATCCCAACATTCCCCGAGCATGTGTGACCGGAGCTCACTCCGCACTCAGTAACAGCGTCAAGCAAACAGCACGTGCGGCCCGAGCCTAGTAGCGGAGGTGGGTGTTTATACCACGTTTGTGCAGGACGAGGGCGCTTGTAGCGGCCACAATCAATGATCGTTGTCCTGAATAGTGAGGTGCTGGTTAACTGAAGCAGACAGCCTATCGTGTAATATAGACCATGAAAGAGAGTGTTAAAATGTGCCCGTAATTGCGAGGTGGCTGATTACCGAGGAGACAGAAATTGGGTTTATACTGTATTTTGTGGGAGAAACGCAGCAACTAATTCTGCAAGCAATGTCAAACAAACAGTCAAGTGACCAATTTATGATAATTGTTTTTTTNGAAGGAATTATTACCCCCGGAAATGTGATCCACCAATCGACTAACAACTGGGTTCCTACTTACTGCTCGGTAAACAGAGACGTGTGGAGTGAGGAAACTGCCAGGAATTGAACCCAGGTCTCTCGTTTAGGAGGCAAATGCTCTAACCACTGAGTTACAGGACTGCAATAGTTGGAAAACACAATTGGCCATAGTTCAGGAATATTTGGTGCACTTTACCTGGTTCACATATGTTGATGTTGGGTGAATACAAAACTGAGTTTGGCTGTGATGTTCCCAATGGTTGAACACATTTAAATATTAGCCACTTGAGTGAGGTACCGGAGGGAGCCCTGTGGACAAGATCCCACAGAGAAGGAAAATGAATCAACACCTTCCAGAAGATAACAAAAGCTATGTAGTAAAGGTGAACTAAACGGGATGTGCTTCTTTAAGATTTGAAACTATTTCTCTTTTTCATAGAATGAATGATACAAACCCAATATTCAACAAAGTTGAATTATACAATACAGAAGGAAGCCATTAAGCCCATCATGTCCGTGTCAGCTCTTTGAAAGCTGTCCAAATTAGTCCCACTCCCCCACTCTCTCCCCATAGCCTATAAATTTGTCCTCCCCAAATATCTATCTACTTCTCTCTTGAAACTTGTTATCGAATTGGCTTCCACCACCCTTTCAGGCAATGCATTCCAGATCCAAACAACTATAGCGTCTTCTCTAAGCTTTTGTGTAATATTTGTTTTCATGGTTGATCTTCCAAGAAAGCCATGTTCTCCTGGCCACGTACTAACATTGTAGGGATCAATAGGCCTTGCCTGGCCGAGCAGAGAGCACGGTTCTCATTCCTCCTCTGCAGATCAACACTGAAAAAATAAGTGATTCACAAAAACCTAACTTGGATTTATAATATACAAAACCATAACTTCTCCTCTCAAAATGAAAATGAATAGACCCTGGAAAAGGAGGAGGAAAAATCACTTAATTGGAAGTATGTGCTGCCACTTCATACTAGGCTTAGTTATGTTTCACTTAAAACTAGACTGCATTGTTAGATTCTGATCACCAATCTTACAATGTACGAAAGAATGTTGTTGACTGCATAAAAGACAAAAAAGGTTCCTACTTTTTTTTAAAAATTGAACAAGTATTCTTCACCAATTATTGCTCCTGCTTACATTCATCATTCCAATTCTGGCCATGAAGCACTGGACTATATAGGCCCGACTCTAAATCAATAAAAATGTAATAACCATCAACTATATCAATATCTGCACTTTGACATTCTATAAGACACAAATAGAAAACAACTGACTTTACTGCAGTGTATTTCATGGAGCTTTTGGAATGTCTAGATTGGGATAGAGAGTCTGGGATAAATTGTGGTAACATGGGGGTTGAATAAATATTCTTTGCTTGGTTGCCTTAAAAATTCTTTTGAATCAGTTGCGATAGAAACATAATTTAGGAAACTTATCACCTATAGTGTTTTTGAAAGCAGAGCTAGGAACTGAATGGAAAACATTTCAAATCTGATTTTCAGAATTGAATTGAAAGTAACTGTTTAGAATGTGTGTGAATATATAGGGTAATAAAATTCACAAGCAAAGTTTATCAATTGACAAATCTTTTGAAATGTTTTATTTCAGGTGAACCCCAACAACGGCTACACATTATAGTTTACATTATAATTGTGCTCCTTGTTACTGTAATAGCTGCTCTCTGCTTTCTTCTTATCCGTAAGAAAATTTGCCTCAACAAGCAATGAAGTACGGTCGGATATGTACTTATGAATGCAACAATTTTACACATCGCATCTTTTAACAAAGTTGGAATTTTTCTGGTGAAAGCCTAATCGATGCAAATGTAATAACTCTTCTGGCAAGAAACTAACAAAAGCATTATATGTTTTGAAAATATTAATAATATTTTATTATTTATTTTATTTTGTTGATACAATATAAAGCAGGAAAAGAAACAAGGACATGAAAGGGACAGAGTATAAAATTAGGAATTTTGATTTTGATGGAGAATGATGAATGTATATTCCTTTTTTTCCAACCCAATAAAAAAACAGTCTATTTAATACGCATGTCTCTGACTCCCATCGTAATGCACTTGCCTCTAACTATTAAATGCTGTTGCTGCTCACCTTAGTTAACTGAGCCAGAGGGTAAACATGTTGTGCTTGGCTCCTATCTCTACTGGCTGTGTTATGGTTAAAATTTTATTTGAGTGTTCTTTTGCATTGTTCGCTTATTACAGACAGTATTTATTGGGAACCTCTTCTGGGCAAATCCAAAGTATCATTCCCTCTCCTGTCTTGTTATTTACATCAGGTTTTGAAATTTCAATTAAAATAATTATTATTATTCAATTAAAATACGCCTTATTCAAATAAAATGAAATCAGTGTTTAATCCAACGAGTCTACTTATTTATATTCTTCACACACCTTAATCTAAGAACATTTGAAAGTCTTTACAAATTGTAACATTCTTCTCTCTAAATTCTGCCAATCACTATTACTGTGTAGCAGCACAGCATAATCAGACTAGTGTTGTTGGGTATCTCTGCCACAAGAGGGTCACATCGTGGAACGTGAAATTACCAAAACCTCTTACTTCTTTCGCTTTGCTTTTAAATGAACTAATGGGCCTCCATATACAGCTCTTGTGATCTTATGCCTGACTGTGCAAGTGTTTGATGCTGTCATGGATATTGTGAAAATCAAGTGCCCCAAGAATTCACACTGCATCATTGCCTGCAGTGTTTGTTGACATTGACATAACAAAATAATAATAATCCTTGCATTTGATATAGCGCTTTTCACGTCTTCTCGATGTCTCAAAGCGCTTCACAGAATATGCTGTAAAGTGAATTGACTGAATTTGTGGGCGAAACGCGGCAGCCAATTGGGCCCAGCAGAGTCCCACAAACAGCCGTGGATTGAAAATGACCAATTTATTATTATTTTGTTTTGGAGGATTATTATCAGGCGTGTGGAGTAAGGAAACTTGCCCAAGGTTTCGTCCTGACCTGCCTGGAATTGAACCCAGGTGTCTCGCTTGCAAGGCGAGTGCTCTAACCACTGAGCTACAGGACTCCAAAGTCCCGCCGAGATCCATACTGTTACTTGCATTTGGCATAAAAGGACATTAAGCTTTGTGACTCAGTTTATATTATTTTTCTACCAGTTTAGAAGGTGATCTATTCCATATTGAAATCCTCCGACTTTTCCAAATAAAAACATCCTTGTTTTCGCTCTCTGAACAATTTGCATTCATATCGCACCCCCCCCAAAACAAATGCTCCTGACACTGCCGGGTTCAAGACCTTTCCGATGAAATATAAACCATGTCTCTACATCAATCGGTTATTACGTGATTGTTAGATACATAGACAGACAGACAGACATCGTTTTATTAGTTTATAAGATAAAATGTCTGTCTGTTTGTCTGTGTGGCAATCTATATTCCATATTGGCTCCTTTGGTTTCAAGCGTAGCTGCAACAGGTCCAGCTAGTATATTATAAAATGTAGAGACTGTGTGTTTTGGAGGAAAGACAGAGACAGCTCCAGTCAGCCAGCACGGCTCCCAGCTATAAACGCAATGCATGCGTACATACGTACTCTGTAATGCACGATGCCACAGCGCTACTTTGACTCGGTGGCCAGGAACGATGAAGATACCCGAAAACAAATATACCCATGTCACTCCAAGTTTCAAGACCCTTCCGATGAGGTATAATTCATGTCACTACGTCAATCGGTTAGTGAGATCCTTCTTGAAGCACAGACAGACATTGCTGTTTTATTTGTATGCATAATAATAATCCTTGCATTTGATATAGCGCTTTTCATGTGGTCAAGATGTCTCAAAGTGCTTCACAGAATATACTGTAAAGTGAATTGACTGTATATTAGTGGGCAAAACACAGCAGCCAATTGTGCACAGCAGTATCCCACAAACAGGTGTGGATTGAAGTGACCGATATTAATATTGTTTTTTTCTTGAGGGATTATTATCAGGCGTGTGGAATAAGGAAACTTGCCCACGGTTTGGCACTGCCAGGAATCAAACTCCGGTCTCTCGCTTGTGAGGCGAGTGTTCTAACCACTGAGCTACAGGTCTCCTGTATATATAGAAGATATATACATATCATTTACACATTACAAAAGACTGCAAGAATAGGGTAACCGTGATAATGCCCCAGACAGAGTGACCAATGCTGGAATCAGCAACTTTATTGGCTGTTCACGATTTGCAGCTTTTCTCCCACCTAATTATACTTCTCAGGCTTTGTCAGAACAATTATTCATTCCCCTGTGCTCTCTTCTTCAATTCTGCGAATTGTCTCCGAACTACTTTTTCAATTTAGTGGTTTTAATCTTCTAGAAAAGAAAACTCCCCAAAAGAGTGCAATTTAGATAGGAGCTGCATATGAAATGGTCTACAGAAGTGGTTATAAAAAGCAGCAGGAAGTATAAAGCACACCAGATGCTGTGATGGGGGAGGGTTTCTGGAGGATGAGATCAGATGGTCGAAAGGCCTTCTTCATTCAAATCGATCTTGTGATGACTGGACTGAGCTGACAAAATACTCAGCACTGTAACTAAAAGCAGTAGCACTGGGGATTTGTCAGGGGCCGGGCCTGCAAGATACTACACTGTATACATTGGAGATAATTTTTTATGTACAGCTAATGCATTACTGTACATCAGCAAGGTCATCAGTCACACAAGGCGGAATATTCTCTATCCCAAGCATACAACTGCTAATGCCACAGATATTAGCAGGGCAGCAAATAAATGGGAGTTCAGTAAGTTGTACATGTTTTTCTTACTTTTTAACAAGTATCAGTTCATCATCGCATATCCTTTCTTGAACCAGGACCGGCCCTTGCAGGGACCGGCCCTTGCAGGGACCGGCCCTTGCAGGGACCGGCCCTTGCAGGGACCGGCCCTTGCAGGGACCGGCCCTTGCAGGGACCGGCCCTTGCAGGGACCGGCCCTTGCAGGGACCGGCCCTTGCAGGGACCGGCCCTTGCAGGGACCGGCCCTTGCAGGGACCGGCCCTTGCAGGGACCGGCCCTTGCAGGGACCGGCCCTTGCAGGGACCGGCCCTTGCAGGGACCGGCCCTTGCAGGGACCGGCCCTTGCAGGGACCGGCCCTTGCAGGGACCGGCCCTTGCAGGGACCGGCCCTTGCAGGGACCGGCCCTTGCAGGGACCGGCCCTTGCAGGGACCGGCCCTTGCAGGGACCGGCCCTTGCAGGGACCGGCCCTTGCAGGGACCGGCCCTTGCAGGGACCGGCCCTTGCAGGGACCGGCCCTTGCAGGGACCGGCCCTTGCAGGGACCGGCCCTTGCAGGGACCGGCCCTTGCAGGGACCGGCCCTTGCAGGGACCGGCCCTTGCAGGGACCGGCCCTTGCAGGGACCGGCCCTTGCAGGGACCGGCCCTTGCAGGGACCGGCCCTTGCAGGGACCGGCCCTTGCAGGGACCGGCCCTTGCAGGGACCGGCCCTTGCAGGGACCGGCCCTTGCAGGGACCGGCCCTTGCAGGGACCGGCCCTTGCAGGGACCGGCCCTTGCAGGGACCGGCCCTTGCAGGGACCGGCCCTTGCAGGGACCGGCCCTTGCAGGGACCGGCCCTTGCAGGGACCGGCCCTTGCAGGGACCGGCCCTTGCAGGGACCGGCCCTTGCAGGGACCGGCCCTTGCAGGGACCGGCCCTTGCAGGGACCGGCCCTTGCAGGGACCGGCCCTTGCAGGGACCGGCCCTTGCAGGGACCGGCCCTTGCAGGGACCGGCCCTTGCAGGGACCGGCCCTTGCAGGGACCGGCCCTTGCAGGGACCGGCCCTTGCAGGGACCGGCCCTTGCAGGGACCGCCCCTTGCAGGGACCGGCCCTTGCAGGGACCGGCCCTTGCAGGGACCGGCCCTTGCAGGGACCGGCCCTTGCAGGGACCGGCCCTTGCAGGGACCGGCCCTTGCAGGGACCGGCCCTTGCAGGGACCGGCCCTTGCAGGGACCGGCCCTTGCAGGGACCGGCCCTTGCAGGGACCGGCCCTTGCAGGGACCGGCCCTTGCAGGGACCGGCCCTTGCAGGGACCGGCCCTTGCAGGGACTGCAGGGACCGGCCCTTGCAGGGACCGGCCCTTGCAGGGACCGGCCCTTGCAGGGACGGCCCTTGCAGGGACCGGCCCTTGCAGGGACCGGCCCTTGCAGGGACCGGCCCTTGCAGGGACCGGCCCTTGCAGGGACCGGCCCTTGCAGGGACCGGCCCTTGCAGGGACCGGCCCTTGCAGGGACCGGCCCTTGCAGGGACCGGCCCTTGCAGGGACCGGCCCTTGCAGGGACCGGCCCTTGCAGGGACCGGCCCTTGCAGGGACCGGCCCTTGCAGGGACCGGCCCTTGCAGGGACCGGCCCTTGCAGGGACCGGCCCTTGCAGGGACCGGCCCTTGCAGGGACCGGCCCTTGCAGGGACCGGCCCTTGCAGGGACCGGCCCTTGCAGGGACCGGCCCTTGCAGGGACCGGCCCTTGCAGGGACCGGCCCTTGCAGGGACCGGCCCTTGCAGGGACCGGCCCTTGCAGGGACCGGCCCTTGCAGGGACCGGCCCTTGCAGGGACCGGCCCTTGCAGGGACCGGCCCTTGCAGGGACCGGCCCTTGCAGGGACCGGCCCTTGCAGGGACCGGCCCTTGCAGGGACCGGCCCTTGCAGGGACCGGCCCTTGCAGGGACCGGCCCTTGCAGGGACCGGCCCTTGCAGGGACCGGCCCTTGCAGGGACCGGCCCTTGCAGGGACCGGCCCTTGCAGGGACCGGCCCTTGCAGGGACCGGCCCTTGCAGGGACCGGCCCTTGCAGGGACCGGCCCTTGCAGGGACCGGCCCTTGCAGGGACCGGCCCTTGCAGGGACCGGCCCTTGCAGGGACCGGCCCTTGCAGGGACCGGCCCTTGCAGGGACCGGCCCTTGCAGGGACCGGCCCTTGCAGGGACCGGCCCTTGCAGGGACCGGCCCTTGCAGGGACCGGCCCTTGCAGGGACCGGCCCTTGCAGGGACCGGCCCTTGCAGGGACCGGCCCTTGCAGGGACCGGCCCTTGCAGGGACCGGCCCTTGCAGGGACCGGCCCTTGCAGGGACCGGCCCTTGCAGGGACCGGCCCTTGCAGGGACCGGCCCTTGCAGGGACCGGCCCTTGCAGGGACCGGCCCTTGCAGGGACCGGCCCTTGCAGGGACCGGCCCTTGCAGGGACCGGCCCTTGCAGGGACCGGCCCTTGCAGGGACCGGCCCAGGGGTGGGGTGATTGGCAGGGAGGGCGGGGCGGGGCGGATTGCCTGGTGCCACCCCCACCCCTCCTCCCGCACTCGGTGCAGCGCAATGAGTGGGAGAGACGCTGTTGTGATCCTCTCCGCAGCGAGAACCGCAATAGGTAACACAGAGAGAGCAGCGCCACAGCCGGACAGCGGGGGGNAGACCCCCGGACACTGGGGGGAGACCCCCGGACACTGGGGGAGACCCCCGGACACTGGGGGGGGAACCCCGGACACTGGGGGGAGACCCCCGGACACTGGGGGGGGACCCCGGACACTGGGGGGGAGACCCCGGACACTGGGGGGAGACCCCCGGACACTGGGGGGACCCCCGGACACTGGGGGGAGACCCCCGGACACTGGGGGGGACCCCCGGACACTGGGGGGAGACCCCCGGACACTGGGGGAGACCCCCGGACACTGGGGGCCCGGACACTGGGGGAGACCCCCGGACACTGGGGGGGGGGGGGGGGGGGGGGGGGGGGGGGGGAACCCCCGGACACTGGGGGGGAGACCCCCGGACACTGGGGGGGAGACCCCCGGACACTGGGGGGGAGACCCCCGGACACTGGGGGGGACCCCCGGACACTGGGGAACCCCGGACACTGGGGGGGAGACCCCCGGACACTGGGGGGGACCCCCGGACACTGGGGGGAGACCTCCGGACACTGAGGGGGACCCCCGGACACTGGGGGTGTGTGTGTGTGTGTGTGGAGGCGCTGCTCCGGAGGCGGATTTCCTGCAAACAGCTGAAGGATAATTGAAGCTGTTTGTGCCTTCACCATCACTGTTACTATCACCATCGCGCCCCCCCCCCAGCCCCCCCCAGCCCCCCCCCAGCCCCCCCCCCAGCCCCCCCCGCCCCCCCCCCCCAGCCCCCCCCCAGCCCCCTGCCCCCCCAGCCCCCCCCAGCCCCCCGCCCCCCCCAGGCCCCCGCCCCCCCCCCCCCCCCAGCCCCCCCCCTGCCCCCAGCCCCCTGCCCCCCCAGCCCCCCCCCCCCCCAGCCCCTGCCCCCCCAGCCCCTGCCCCCCCAAGCCCTGCCCCCCTGAACCCCCCAGCCCCCTTCCCCCCCCAGCCCCTGCCGGGGAGATAGGTTGAGGGATTGTGGAAAGAATAATAATAAATAATAATAATAGGGCAAAAGGTGCTGTTAAGGGTGGCTGGGGGTGGGGAAAGGGGGGCTGTGGCTGAAGTTGGCAGTCAGTGTTGTGAAGATGGAAGAACGTCAACTTGATAAGCCCCCAGATGAAAGGTTGAAGATGAGGTTTGAATAAATCGTTGATTTGATATTCTGTACTGTCTCCGTGAGCTGACGTGAGCCAATGCCTGAAGTGCGGAGATGCTGACGGGAGCCAAGCAGGAAAGCCTTTGTCTTGTCAACATTAGAAACATAAGAAATAGGAGCAGGAGTAGGCCATTCGGCCCCTCAAGCCTGCCCCGCCATTTAATAAGACCATGGATGATCTTCTAACCTAATTCCAGTTACCCGCCCTATCCCCATATCCCTTAATCCCTTTAGTTTTTAAAAATCAATCTCAGTCTTGAATATGTTCCATGACATCCTGATGGAAGAGCTCCCTCTTTCACCAATACTGGTGCCAGTGGTCCACAAAATAAGGCATTATACAAATGCAAGTTCTTCCTTTTCTCCAGCCAGATCTTGTTGCATGTGGAGTCCCAGTACACAGCAAGTACACTTAGCTAAAACCTGCTTCTTTTAATCACAGGCTCCACATGTGGTTCCAATGCGAGTTGGGGTCAAAGTAGGAGACATGTCCCTTCAGGATACCATTCTGTGTGATGGCCTAATGGACGCCTTTTATAACAACCACATGGGTGTAACAGGTAAGAACTGTCACTGAATAAATACAAGGTTTGCATTTAAGTACTGGAAATTAATTGCATTTCCCTCTGTTTTCTAACCTCTCTGAGGATCTGTGGCGTTTAGTTCTAAGGCTACCAGCTGCCCTCCAGTATCTCATTAAAGTGGCCGTACTTCATGTGTGAATCCGAGTGGTAAAGGGTCACTGGGCTGTTTGACCATGAGAGGAGATGGAATATCACAGGCAAGTCTCTTCCTGTCCACACACAAGCACCTTCCAGCCAGGACCATTGAATGTGATAAGAAGTGGGAACACTGGCTGTATTTTTCCTCCTACTTATACAAACTAATTGTAACATCCCATCTGCTGCCAAGCTGACACCAGGTAACCTGGCACAAATCTGTGTCTTCCAAGTCTCAGTTCAACGCCAGGCAGTGCCTTTGTCAACCAAGTGCTCAAAGAGAGCAGCTTGGGAATGGAGCAATCTATATGCAGGGTTTGATAAATTTATAAGATAGTATTGTTCTGATTAAAAATGGGGGGCGTTATTTGAATAGAAAATGTTCTTTTTGTTTCTATTTAATCATGTATTGTAACCATTTCTTAAAATTAGATCCTGAAATAATGGGCAGAATGTGTTTGAGCTCAGATTGCAATCCAAAGTGCCTGTTCCCAGCCTCCAAGACACAGTCGTGTATTAACTACCTCAGCTGTGGAGGTGCTCATCGATGATTGGAAAAATGTGAACAAATTTACTGGAACAAACCTGAATCCTTTCTGAAGTTCAAAATATGGAGGAGGTTAATTCTGTTCTGAACTGTAAAGGGAACATGACTGTTGACTAAAGATGTTCCTACAAAATACACAGTCACTACACACTTCATAGTTGTGAAGCACTTTAAACATCCTCGCGAATAGAAACATACTATTCTTGGTGGAGACCCAGGCATCCTACATGACTCAGCCAACTTAAGACCAAAAGATTCTGTGGTTGAATTCCTTGGAAGCTCAAGCTTTTAACCTTTTTAGAGCAACAATATATCTTTAAAATTATCCTCTGTGGTGACAGATAAGCAAAGTCACCCGAGGGCAGTACTTTTACACTGTGATGACTGGCCTAACAGAAGCCAGGAAGGTGTGTGTTATCCTAAAACCACCTTGGAGGGTGTGAATGTGTGAACCAAAGCTGTGCAAGCTCATAGAACGGACGTAGATGTAAAGTAGCATGTTACTTGATAGCCATCATTATGTATTGCTACGGTCTCTTGGCCATGCACATATTTATATAAAGGTTTGAAGCTACAGAACGTTTCCCGAATTACTTTTCTCGTCCTCTCGATGCAGCTGAGAACGTGGCGATGCAGTGGCATGTGAGTCGAGAGGAGCAGGACAAGTTTGCTGTACAGTCCCAGAACCGAACTGAGGCAGCACAGAAAGCTGGCTATTTTGAAAAAGAAATTGTTCCTGTCTCCGTCCCTTCCAGGAGAGGTATGTGCTGTACTCCTAGGAGGAGAGATTTTGAGACTGACTGGTTCATCTGCACGAGCGCGTGTGAGTGCGTGAAGGAGAAGGTTTCAGAAAGTTGCATATTCTAAGCTTTTTCAAGCCTCAAAAACAAATGTCATAGAGGGGACCTCTATAGAGGTATATAAGATGCTGAATGAGATTGAGACAGTAAACCTACAATAATATATTCAGATATACCAAGCCAGCAGAAAACACGGTACAGGTTCAGAGTTGTAAAGGACATTATTTAGGACACACAACAAGAAGTGTTTCTTTACACGTTGCTGCAACTGCAGTAGATTACCAGGAGGGATGGCAGAAGCTAGGTTGCTGGACACTTTTTTAAAAAAAACTATGCGGTAATGAGAGATGATAGCATGGATATTCTGGAAGGCTCAGATTGAATAGGCCGAAAGGTTTTATTTATCCAAACCTCTTTTGTGATCTTATGTTATCCAGTCTGCCCTGAACCCTATGGGCTTGCAAGAGGTCTTCCAAACTATTTGGCACTCAACCAGTGACTGAAGACCTTGCTGATGTCTTCTCAGTAATGCATTAGCTGAACATAAAAAATCATCTCCAATGTATACAGTGTAGTATCTTGCAATGCTACTGTTAATGTTGCAGAATTGAAAAAGATGTTGGGATTGTAATTGTGTTGAATCTTTTTTTATATTGACTGCACAGATGCAGATTAAATTTGTTGTGCATATAAATATAATCCAAGCAGTTTCCTGATGAAAGTAGAACTGTCACATCTATTCCTGGTTTAAGTCGGCAATGAATATTGTTTTGCATAACAGTATATAAGCAATAGGTATTGTTCATTCAGGAGCAGTGCACACAAAGTTTGTGATTGAAAAAGGGATCTAGATTCTGATTTCTAAAAGTGAGGTATAAATTGATGCTGACATTTTAAAATGAGTTTAACCCAACCCTCACAAGTACTATTGTTGTAAAGTTTAATTTGAATTTTCCATACAAAGGCCCGTACTTCTGCATCAATCATTCTGCGAGGAGCAAATGATTTCATGTGTGATGAGATGGAGCGCTCCCTACATGATGCACTCTGTGTTGTGAAGAGAGTGCTTGAGTCCAAGTCTTTAGTTCCAGGAGGTGGGGCTGTGGAAGCTGCACTCTCCATCTACCTGGAAAACTATGCAACTAGTTTGGTATGGGTTTAATTGTATTTCAAGATTATTGGGGGAGGGCACTTTTACCGTATGCTTTGAGCTGATTAACCAGGGATTACTGTCCCTATTAATTTGCAGTATTAAAAATTATTTTAAGAAAATAAGTTAAAAGTACTTCATGTATTTAACTGTTGGTTGTCTTTTTGTTTAGGGATCACGTGAACAACTTGCCATTGCAGAATTTGCCCGGGCCATGTTGGTTATTCCTAAGACTCTGGCAGTGAATGCTGCTCAGGATTCTACAGACCTTGTTGCAAAGTTGCGTGCATTCCACAACGAAGCTCAGGTCAATCCTGATCGCAAAACTTTGAAATGGTAAAAATTTTATTGTACTGTGGTCTGCAAAAGATTGTGACTTGAGACCCATTGTTGTCTGAATCAGCGATGAAACTAAATTTGAACATTGTTGCAATTCATGAGCAATCATTGATTTTTGGTGACCTGGTGCCCCAGATAGCAGTAAAGTGCAAAATTGATTTTCTCCATCTTGTTAAAGTAACTTTTATGGCTGAGTTGTCAGAATTCAATCGGAAATTATGAATGTTTTACTAATATTGTAGTGACTGGCTATTAAAACAGTGTTAATCAAATTGACATTTTGCTTGTGCAGGATTGGTCTTGATTTATTGAATGGGAAGCCAAGGGACAACAAACAAGCTGGTGTCTTTGAGCCTACTATGGTTAAAGTCAAGAGTCTGAAGTTTGCAACAGAAGCTGCTATAACCATCCTGCGAATTGATGATCTCATCAAACTTTACCCAGATGAAAAGCAAGACAAAGGAAAGAGTTACCAAGATGCAGTTCAAAGTGGAGAGCTTAATGGCTGAAGCACCTGAGTTCTAAAATCAGCTATTATAATTTATGTTTAACTCTTGGCATCCATCAGGTGCTTCTTGTACTTCTGTTCTAGATTGAGCAGCTTGTCATACTTGTCTGAAATTCAGTGCCACTTGTTTAGTGCTCTGTTTAATTTACTATGCTTGTTTAGTGCTATTTGGCACAAACCGGATTTAAAAGACCTCTTACTTTGTTACCTATAGTCAACTCTTTCAAGTTATTTGTGCAAAATTATTTCCTGTACATTGACAGTTGTGCTTCAAGCTCCTTCAGAAATAAAATGTGACAGTTGTCAAGTGATCAGCCCATCTATGTAGGGAGCTGTTAAGAGACCACCTTAATTTCATGAATAAACGTTGATGTTGTGCTTCTGGTCTTTTCAAATCTAATTAATTGTGTATGTTATTTCATTGTGGACATGATTTCTCCCTCACACAAATTCACTGGGGAAAACATTAATTAAAAATACTACTGGGGAAGGATGTAATAAGGCACTATATCAAATACAAGGATGATTATTATCTCCCCAAATAAGTAACCTCTCTGATTCTTGGTTGCTGATCTTACCATGGGGAATGATAAAATGCTCAAAAGTATTAGGGCAGCATTTGTAAATCAATTAAAGCAAAATTAAAATACAATGAATGTTCCCCTGCTTTCTCACATGTATTCAACCATCTTGCCCTTCTATAAATACTGGCACTTGATGTAATTTGAGAGTCAGTTTACAAGATTCAGCAATGGTACATTGAGCAATTTATTTCATAAAGAAAAAAATGGTCAATCTGAATTGAGAGATAATAGGAAGGAGTTTATGAATTTTAACAAAAGTATGGATTCCACATACACAATATTACTATGATTTCAAACTTCAGTACTTTTAATCAAATATTTAAAAGTTACACTAATTTTCAGAACCATTTTATGTGGACTGAAGTTTTGAATAGTTTTAAAACCTACCTACTTTACACATTCATTATAAAAACAAAATGCACCTACATTTCATTGGAATCAGGCTGTAACCTCTAAAATAAAAGCTCAATTTTATCCAGTCAGTAGCTTAGCTGCAGAGTATCTTCAGTTCTTGTAGTAAAATTTAGGTGTAATTTATTGCCTTTCAACACACATAGCTATTCCCATTCCACCTCCTATACACAAAGAAGCAATGCCACGCTTTTTTCCTGTTCTCTCCAGTGCGTAGAGAAGTGTAACCAGAATGCGGCACCCAGACATTCCCAGAGGGTGACCTAAAGCAATAGCACCACCTTGGATGTTTACCTAGAAAGACAAACACAAAAAATGCATTTTTTTAAAAAAGAGGGAAAACCTTTTCCCTAATTTTCTCCTTACTCCACTGGCCTGCTTCAGGTCCCCTGCCTATCCTACCATCAGCAGTCAGGCTTTCAGCCTATCTGCTCTCACTTTGTGGAACTCCAACGAGAGCCCTATCACCTCAACTCTCCCTTACCTCCTTCAAGGTCCTCAAAACCTTCCTCTGACCGGTCATCTTCCTGGCCCCCATCCCTCCCGAATCCAACCCCAGCTTGGATGCACACCCTCGACTGCAGTGGCTTGGGACATCCTCCCGACATGAAAGGCGCTTTATAAATGCAATTTGTTGTTTTATTACATCCCACATTGACCCATTGGGTGAATCAGGAAGTAAAAAGGATCAATTGCATTTAGTTGTAGTGCCAATTTTTATATCTACATTTCTCACCTTCTCTGGGTTTATACCCAGTTCCTTGACAACAGCTACAGACTGTGATGCAAAAGCTTCATTGATTTCGAAGAGATCAACTTCATCCAGCGTCCAGCCGGCTTTTTCTACCTAGAATAAATAGTAAATCTAAGTCATTACCCTTGAATCTGAAGATGATGGAATGCACAGTGGGTGAATCATTGGTTGAAAAGAAAACAATCTACTTGACCCTACTTCAGGGGGACACAATTTGACCGCTCCTCAGTCAATGATATCAGCCATGTGAGGAGTGACCGAGCAGACCTTTTCCAAATGGGAAAGGGAGATACCTGGAGTTGAGCCATGACCCCAGTCTCGTCTCCTGCAGGTGCAAAAAAAAAAAAAAAAAAAAAAAAAAAAAAAAAAAAATAAAGTTTTTTTTTTTTTTTTTTTTTTTTTTTTTTTTTTTTTTTTTTTTTTTTTTTTTTTTTTTTTTTTTTTTTTTTTTTTTTTTTTTTTTTTTTTTTTTTTCTGGAGCAGCACATCCTGAGCCATGACCAGTCTCGTGCCCATGCTAAAAAAAAAAAAAAAAAAAAAAAAAAAAAAAAAAAAAAAAAAAAAAAAAAAAAAAAAAAAAGTGAAAAAAAAAAAAACAATAGACAAAAAAAAAAAAAAAAACCGGCACAATGGCTTCAAATATGCTATATTCTTGGTAGTGTCAGCAACCTAGCTTCTGCCATCCCTCCTGGTAATCTACTGCAGTTGCAGCAACGTGTAAAGAAACACTTCTTGTTGTGTGTCCTAAATAATGTCCTTTACAACTCTGAAACTGTACCTTGTTTTCTGCTGGCCTGGTGTATCTGAATATATTATTGTAGGTTTATTTTCTCAATCTCATTCAGCATCTTATATACCTCTATAGAGGTCCCCTCTATGACATTTGTTTCTGAGGCTTGAAAAAGCTTAGAATATGCAACTTTCTGAAACCTTCTCCTACATGCACTCACACGCGCTCGTGCAGATGAACCAGTCAGTCTCAAAATCTCTCCTCCTAGGAGTACAGCACATACCTCTCCTGGAAGGGACGGAGACAGGAACAATTTCTTTTTCAAAATAGCCAGCTTTCTGTGCTGCCTCAGTTCGGTTCTGGGACTGTACAGCAAACTTGTCCTGCTCCTCTCGACTCACATGCCACTGCATCGCCACGTTCTCAGCTGCATCGAGAGGACGAGAAAAGTAATTCGGGAAACGTTCTGTAGCTTCAAACCTTTATATAAATATGTGCATGGCCAAGAGACCGTAGCAATACATAATGATGGCTATCAAGTAACATGCTACTTTACATCTACGTCCGTTCTATGAGCTTGCACAGCTTTGGTTCACAGATTCACACCCTCCAAGGTGGTTTTAGGATAACACACACCTTCCTGGCTTCTGTTAGGCCAGTCATCACAGTGTAAAAGTACTGCCCTCGGGTGACTTTGCTTATCTGTCACCACAGAGGATAATTTTAAAGATATATTGTTGCTCTAAAAAGGTTAAAAGCTTGAGCTTCCAAGGAATTCAACCACAGAATCTTTTGGTCTTAAGTTGGCTGAGCCATGTAGGATGCCTGGGTCTCCACCAAGAATAGTATGTTTCTATTCGCGAGGATGTTTAAAGTGCTTCACAACTATGAAGTGTGTAGTGACTGTGTATTTTGTAGGAGCATCTTTAGTCAACAGTCATGTTCCTTTTACAGTTCAGAACAGAATTAACCTCCTCCATATTTTGAACTTCAGAAAGGATTCAGCTTTGTTCCAGTAAATTTGTTCACATTTTTCCAATCATCGATGAGCACCTCCACAGCTGAGGTAGTTAATACACGGCACTTTGGATTGCAATCTGAGCTCAAACACATTCTGCCCATTATTTCAGTATCTAATTTTAAGAAATGGTTACAATACATGATTAAATAGAAACAAAAAGAACATTTTCTATTCAAATAACGCCCCCCATTTTTAATCAGAACAATACTATCTTATAAATTTATCAAACCCTGCATACAGATTGCTCCATTCCCAAGCTGCTCTCTTTGAGCACTTGGTTGACAAAGGCACTGCCTGGCGTTGAACTGAGACTTGGAAGACACAGATTTGTGCCAGGTTACCTGGTGTCAGCTTGGCAGCAGATGGGATGTTACAATTAGTTTGTATAAGTAGGAGGAAAAATACAGCCAGTGTTCCCACTTCTTATCACATTCAATGGTCCTGGCTGGAAGGTGCTTGTGTGTGGACAGGAAGAGACTTGCCTGTGATATTCCATCTCTTCTCATGGTCAAACAGCCCAGTGACCCTTTACCACTCGGATTCACACATGAAGTACGGCCACTTTAATGAGATACTGGAGGGCAGCTGGTAGCCTTAGAACTAAACGCCACAGATCCTCAGAGAGGTTAGAAAACAGAGGGAAATGCAATTAATTTCCAGTACTTAAATGCAAACCTTGTATTTATTCAGTGACAGTTCTTACCTGTTACACCCATGTGGTTGTTATAAAAGGCGTCCATTAGGCCATCACACAGAATGGTATCCTGAAGGGACATGTCTCCTACTTTGACCCCAACTCGCATTGGAACCACATGTGGAGCCTGTGATTAAAAGAAGCAGGTTTTAGCTAAGTGTACTTGCTGTGTACTGGGACTCCACATGCAACAAGATCTGGCTGGAGAAAAGGAAGAACTTGCATTTGTATAATGCCTTATTTTGTGGACCACTGGCACCAGTATTGGTGAAAGAGGGAGCTCTTCCATCAGGATGTCATTGAACATATTCAAGACTGAGATTGATTTTTAAAAACTAAAGGGATTAAGGGATATGGGGATAGGGCGGGTAACTGGAATTAGGTTAGAAGATCATCCATGGTCTTATTAAATGGCGGGGCAGGCTTGAGGGGCCGAATGGCCTACTCCTGCTCCTATTTCTTATGTTTCTAATGTTGACAAGACAAAGGCTTTCCTGCTTGGCTCCCGTCAGCATCTCCGCACTTCAGGCATTGGCTCACGTCAGCTCACGGAGACAGTACAGAATATCAAATCAACGATTTATTCAAACCTCATCTTCAACCTTTCATCTGTGGGGGCTTATCAAGTTGACGTTCTTCCATCTTCACAACACTGACTGCCAACTTCAGCCACAGCCCCCCTTTCCCCACCCCCAGCCACCCTTAACAGCACCTTTTGCCCTATTATTATTATTATTATTTATTATTATTCTTTCCACAATCCCTCAACCTATCTCCCCGGCAGGGGCTGGGGGGGGGGGCAGGGGCAGGGGGTGCGGGGGGGGCGGGGGCTGGGGGGGGGAAGGGGGCTGGGGGTTTCAGGGGGGCAGGGGCTTGGGGGGGCAGGGGCTGGGGGGGCTGGGGGGGCAGGGGGCTGGGGGGCAGGGGGCTGGGGGGGCAAGGGGCTGGGGGGGCGGGGGGGCGGGGGCTGGGGGGGGCAGGGGCTGGGGGGGGCAGGGGCTGGGGGGGGGCAGGGGGCTGGGGGGGCAGGGGGCTGGGGGGGGGCAGGGGGCTGGGGGGGCAGGGGGCTGGGGGTGCGGGTGACTGGGGGGGGGGGCAGGGGGATGGGGGGGGGGGGGCGCTGTGGTGATGGTAATAGTGATGGTGAAGGCACAAACAGCTTCAATTATCCTTCAGCTGTTTGCAGGAAAAAGCAGCGCCTCCACACACACACACACCCCCAGTGTCCGGGGGTCCCCCCCAGTGTCCGGGGGCTCCCCCAGTGTCCGGGGGTCTCCCCCCAGTGTCCGGGGGTCTCCCCCCAGTGTCCGGGGGTCCCCCAGTGTCCGGGGGTCCCCCCCCAGTGTCCGGGGGTCTCCCCCCAGTGTCCGGGGGTCTCCCCCCAGTGTCCGGGGGTCTCCCCCCCAGTGTCCGGGGGTCCCCAGTGTCCGGGGGTCTCCCCCAGTGTCCGGGGGTCCCCAGTGTCCGGGGGTCTCCCCCCCGCTGTCCGGCTGTGGCGCTGCTCTCTCTGTGTTACCTATTGCGGTTCTCGCTGCGGAGAGGATCACAACAGCGTCTCTCCCACTCATTGCGCTGCACCGAGTGCGGGAGGAGGGGTGGGGGTGGCACCAGGCAGTCCCTGCAAGGGCCGGTCCCTGCAAGGAAACTTGTCCAAGGTTTCGTCCTGACCTGCCTGGAATTGAACCCAGGTGTCTCGCTTGCAAGGCGAGTGTTCTTACCACTGAGCTACAGGACTCCAAAGTCCCGCCGAGATCCATACTGTTACTTGCATTTGGCATAAAAGGACATTAAGCTTTGTGACTCAGTTTATATTATTTTTCTACCAGTTTAGAAGGTTATCTGTTCCATATTGAAATCCTCCTACTTTTCAAAATAAAAACATCCTTGTTTTCGCTCTCTGAACAATTTGCATTCATATCGCCCCCCCCCCAAAACAAATGCTCCTGACACTGCCGGGTTCAAGACCTTTCAGATGAAATATAAACCATGTCTCTACATCAATCGGTTATTACGTGATTGTTAGATTCATAGACAGACAGACAGACAGACATCGTTTTATTAGTTTATAAGATAAAATGTCTGTCTCTTTGTCTGTGTGGCAATCTATATTCCATATTGGCTCCTTTGGTTTCAAGCGTAGCTGCAACAGGTCCAGCTAGTATATTATAAAATGTAGAGACTGTGTGTTTTGGAGGAAAGACAGAGACAGCTCCAGTCAGCCAGCACGGCTCCCAGCTGTAAACGCAATGCATGCGTACATACGTACTCTGTAATGCACGATGCCACAGCGCTACTTTGACTCGGTGGCCAGGAACGATGAAGATACCCGAAAACAAATATACCCATGTCACTCCAAGTTTCAAGACCCTTCCGATGAGGTATAATTCATGTCACTACGTCAATCGGTTAGTGAGATCCTTCTTGAAGCACAGACAGACATTGCTGTTTTATTTGTATGCATAATAATAATCCTTGCATTTGACATAGCGCTTTTCATGTGGTCAAGATGTCTCAAAGTGCTTCACAGAATATACTGTAAAGTGAATTGACTGTATATTAGTGGGCAAACCAATTGTGCACATCAGTGTCCCACAAACAGGTGTGGATTGAAGTGACCGATATTAATATTGTTTTTTTCTTGAGGGATTATTATCAGGCGTGTGGAATAAGGAAACTTGCCCACGGTTTCGCACTGCCAGGAATCAAACTCAGGTCTCTCGCTTGTGAGGCGAGTGTTCTAACCACTGAGCTACAGGTCTCCTGTATATATAGAAGATATATACATATCATTTACACATTACAAAAGACTGCAAGAATAGGGTAACCGTGATAATGCCCCAGACAGAGTGACCAATGCTGGAATCAGCAACTTTATTGGCTGTTCACGATTTGCAGCTTTTCTCCCACCTAATTATACTTCTCAGGCTTTGTCAGAACAATTATTCATTCCCCTGTGCTCTCTTCTTCAATTCTGCGAATTGTCTCCGAACTACTTTTTCAATTTAGTGGTTTTAATCTTCTAGAAAAGAAAACTCCCCAAAAGAGTGCAATTTAGATAGGAGCTGCATATGAAATGGTCTACAGAAGTGGTTATAAAAAGCAGCAGGAAGTATAAAGCACACCAGATGCTGTGATGGGGGAGGGTTTCTGGAGGATGAGATCAGATGGTCGAAAGGCCTTCTTCATTCAAATCGATCTTGTGATGACTGGACTGAGCTGACAAAATACTCAGCACTGTAACTAAAAGCAGTAGCACTGGGGATTTGTCAGGGGCCGGGCCTGCAAGATACTACACTGTATACGTACACTGTACATCAGCAAGGTCATCAGTCACACAAGGCGGAATATTCTCTATCCCAAGCATACAACTGCTAATGCCACAGATATTAGCAGGGCAGCAAATAAATGGGAGTTCAGTAAGTTGTACATGTTTTTCTTACTTTTTAACAAGTATCAGTTCATCATCGCATATCCTTTCTTGAACCGGCCCTTGCAGGGACCGGCCCTTGCAGGGACCGGCCCTTGCAGGGACCGGCCCTTGCAGGGACCGGCCCTTGCAGGGACCGGCCCTTGCAGGGACCGGCCCTTGCAGGGACCGGCCCTTGCAGGGACCGGCCCTTGCAGGGACCGGCCCTTGCAGGGACCGGCCCTTGCAGGGACCGGCCCTTGCAGGGACCGGCCCTTGCAGGGACCGGCCCTTGCAGGGACCGGCCCTTGCAGGGACCGGCCCTTGCAGGGACCGGCCCTTGCAGGGACCGGCCCTTGCAGGGACCGGCCCTTGCAGGGACCGGCCCTTGCAGGGACCGGCCCTTGCAGGACCGGCCCTTGCAGGGACCGGCCCTTGCAGGGACCGGCCCTTGCAGGGACCGGCCCTTGCAGGGACCGGCCCTTGCAGGGACCGGCCCTTGCAGGGACCGGCCCTTGCAGGGACCGGCCCTTGCAGGGACCGGCCCTTGCAGGAATGAACTGTAAATAGTCAAGATCAAAGATTGGTTTGGTCAAGAGGATTCTTCATCTTTTTTATTCTCCGCCTTCTAGAATATCTGCCCTCATGTCTTTCCATTACAGCATCAAGCTGTTCCTTAAATAATAATCCTTGCATTTGATATAGCACCTTCTCAAGTTGTTGAGTCGTCTCAAAGCACTTCCCAGAATATCCTGTGAAGTGAATTGACTGTATATTTTGTGGGCGAAACGCGGCAGCCAATTGTGCACAGCAGTGTCCCCCAAACAGGCGTGGATTGAGTGGCCAAGCAACTGACCTTTTGATTACCTTTCATAACCCTGCACCTTCGATTTGTTGCTCTGGTGCCTCGAGGGCTTGATGAGAGTGCTGTGTATGGCCCAGAACCCATTCCGAATGACCTGCAGCGAAATTACATTTACACACAAGTAATTAAAAGAGAGAACACTTTAGTAGCTCAGCATTGCCCCCCAGAGAGCTATGCTGAGTGGTTAGGCAATACAGTTTGTTCCTGTTACTGGCCACAAATATACTTGTTCCACTTTGGATTAATGCACATAAGTCCATGTGCAGGTAAATAGAAAAAGAGACGAGTGCCAGCAAGCTGTGTACCGGCTGTGAAGATGTTGTGACATGAGTGAAATTATCACTCAGTTATTAAACTTATGAAAAAAACTTCCATGTGAGCCCCCATCCCTCTCCACAGCCATCGTGTAGGACCAAAACAAAGAAGAATCATCACTAGTTTGAGAGACAAAACAGAGGGAGCGGGAGAGACTGAGATGGAATAAAAGAAAGAGCGGTGGGGAGGGGACCTGCCATTATGTCACTCACTTGTCACATTTTTGAACAAATTGTCCCAATTGTTCGGGTGTAAAATATAACTACCTTCCTTCAAACACCCACAGTGACAAGCTTCTGTATAAATTCAATCCTGAGTTCGACAGAAAAACTCACATCTTCCTTTATTCCACAGGTCAAGTGACAAGGATTGAGGAGCAATGCTGTCTTTATTTTGCTCTGTAACACCGCAGATCTCAAATGTTATTTGAGCCCAAAGAGAATGAATGGGAAGGAGAATACATTTGCCACACGTTACGATCAATGTAGCAAGCGATGATGAGCGTACACCGCATACTATATTTAGAACACATTTCAATTTTGGTGTAGAAATTAAATAAGAATCTAACAGATGGAGTATCTCTCTTTAGGTTTAATACTATCTATGCGAAATGACACAGTGTTACTCAAGCAACAGGGCACAATTGATTGCAAACGTCATGTAGAAGGATAAGGGCAGAGAGGTAGGTAAAGCATCAAGTGTTTGATTAACTCAGGGTTTTCTATTCCAGATGGAATACATGTATTTCTTCACACAGCCGGAACAGGTTACCAGGGAGAGGGGCTGGGGCCAGGTCACATTTCACAAACTGCATCATCCTGTGATAAGTAGACAATAGGATTGAGATCAAATGGGCCAAAGGTCATTCTTCATCTGAATCTTTCTCGTAAACCTATTTGCACAGACATAATGTAAGGGTCTAAACTGAGATATATCTTAATGGAAATCTCTAATGAGGAATCTGAATTGCGCATGGAGCACCATATTACATCCCACCCCCACCCATATTAAATAAAGAACTGATTGCAGGGATAGTGATGGATTCAGCCATGAAATTTGCAACTTTTTGTACATGTCTCCGATGTTTCCGATGTGTCCAACGGCACATCATTTTGCCAATGGAAAAGGGCTTCAAACAGTAGAGATATAATGGACCACCATAGATAGGATGACCATACCACCTGATTTGTGGAGTCCTGTAGCTCAGTGGTTAGAGCACTCGCTTTGCAAGTGAGAGACCTAAGTTCAATTCCAGGCAGGTCAGGGCGAAACCTTGGGCAAGTTTCCTTACTCCACACAGAGCCTAATAATAATCCCTCCAAAACCAAAAACAATAATAAATTGGTCATTTTCATCTACGACTGTTTGTGGGACATTGCTGTGTGCATTGGCTGCCGCGTTCGCCCACAAATATACAGTCAATTCACTTTACAGTGTGTTCTGTGAAGCGCTTTGGGACGTTCTCCCGACGTGAAAAGCGCTATATCAAATGCAAGGATTATTATTATTATTATTATTTCCAAGGACAGTCCCCAGATGAGGTATTGTGTCCCTGGGGCAAAATTTGCCCAGACTCGAGTTCAGCAACAAAATGCGCAAGAGCAACTAAATTCTAAAACAGCTACACTCATCAGAGAAATGCAGCATTTAATCCAACAAACTTCTCCAGTAACTGCAGAACATCAGTGATTTTGGTGAGTTCAGGTTTATTTTATATATATGTGTCCCAGCATTTTGTTACAAAAGATGA